GGCACAAACACCTGAAACGCTCAAATTTGAATACTGGCGTTGTGGGGGGTTGATTTTGTCATTTGGGAGTTGTAGTTGCTGGGATGGATGAAACGCTGGCATAGATGAAACTCTCTGTCCCTTCTGGCAGGGGCTGATCATTGGATCTGGACCAAACTTGACACAAATATTCAATATGCCCAAATGTGAACACTGGTGGAGTTTAGGGAAAATAGACCTTTTGGGAGTTGTAGTTTCTGGGATTTATAGTTCACCTACAATCAAGGAGCTTTCTGAACTCCACCAACGATGGTATTGAAGTGAACTTGGCACACAGAACTCCCATGACCAACAGAAAACACTAGAAGGGTTTGGTGGGCATTGACCTTGAGTTTTGGAGTTGTAGTTCACCTACATCCAGAATGCACTGTAGATTCAAACAATGATGGATCTGGACCAAACTTGGCATGAATAGTCAATATGCTCAAATGGGAACCCTGGTGGAGTTTGGGGGAAATAGACATTTGGGAGTTGTGTTTGCTGGGATTTATAGTTCACCTACAATCAAAGAGCATTCTGAACCCCACCAATGACAGAATTGGGCCAAACTTCCCACACAGAACTCCATTACCAACAGAAAGTATTGTGTTTTCTGGTGGTCTTTGGTGACCCCTCTGAAACCCCCTCGTGACCCACCCAGGGGTCCCGACCCCCAGGTTGAGAAACGCTGCTCTAGACCATGGCCATACAGCCCGAAAAAACCTACAACAACCCAATATAGATCTGCTCCATGGCACTTCATCAAAGACATTTGCACCAAAGTTTGGGAGAAGTGTGCGATGCTGCTCCAAGGCGGGGAATGGTTGTTGTCGATGCAAAGCCCGTCTTCCCAATCTCGAAAACAAGAATAGCAATAACAAGATTTCATAAGGGGAGATAAAACAGACGCAAACATGATGAAACTCTTGTGAGTGACGCCGGGCCAACGTGTCCTTTGAGATGTTTTGTGCCTCGATTTGATTTATCTTCCCTGATAAAATCTTGACGTGCGACTGCCGGTCATTATTTTGCTCTTGTAAAAAGCCGGGGAATGTGTCAATTTCCAAGGTTTTAAAACTTGATCTATCGCTGTGGGGCCCTGCTTAGAATGCCGTGCCGGCAAAAGAGCTAAGTTTCGGATTATAAATTCATCGGGTGGCATTTAATGGCATTTTGTGGCTTAAAACAGACTCTTTTCCCCCTTTTTAATTCAATGGAAATGACTGGTTCTACTGTGGTTTTGGTGTTCTGGAGTTCAGGGTTCAAATTCCCCATTGAGTGTCCTTGGGCAAGTCACACTCTCTCGGCCCCAGAATAAGTGACCCAGGATAAGGCTACCGAAAGAAGGAAATGCCTTGAAAGCACTCAAAAAGAACAACTGGCATTCAGAAGTAAATTTGCAGTGATGTGTATAACGTTTTACCTCCCAAAAAAGAGCCTCCAATTCGGAACACCAAAAGAGTTTCAATATCTTCAGTGTTGGGGCAAATATCTCCACGAGCATCCTTTGTGTTTTCACTCTTGTCCAGGTACAGTGGGTTACACCACTGAGCTGCCGAACTTGCTGACCAAAAGGTTGGCGGTTGAAGAGGGTGATGATGGTGGCATCCTTGAAATCTGCTGGGATTTTCTCGGTCACCCACACTTTTTCTATGAGCTGATGGAGTTGTGTCAACTCAGGTCCTCCCTCTTAAAAGATTTCAGCAGGGATCCCATCAGGTCCGCTGGTTTTGTTATTTTTTTTGTTGGTTGATGGCATTGCAGACTTCTTCCAAATTAGGCAGTGCTGCAATCTCATCCCTGGTTTGTTGTTGCGGGATTTGTGAGAGAACCTCTTCGGCCACATTGGAACCCCATCCAACATAGGCTGTAACCCTATGCCCTTTCGGCCTTTCAACTGACCAGGAGGACCTCTGCCTTGTCTGGATTCAATTTCATTAGTCCTCATCTAGTCCGACACAGCAGTCAAACAAACTCAAGGTCAATGCTCACCAAACCCTTCTAGTGTTTTCTGTTGGTCATGGAAGTCCTGTATGCCATGTTTGGTTCAATTCCATCATTGGTGGAGTTCAGAATGCTCTTTGATTGTAGGTGAACTATAAATCCAGCAACTACAACTCCCAAATGACAAAATCAACATTTTTAAGTGAAGGACATATATTGGGTCCAGAGGAGAGCGACTAAAATGATCAAGGGTCTGGAGAACAAGCCCTACGAGGAGCGGCTTAAGGAGCTGGGCATGTTTAGCCTGAAGAAGAGAAGGCTGAGAGGGGATATGATAGCCATGTATAAATATGTGAGAGGAAGCCACAGGGAGGAGGGAGCAAGCTTGTTTTCTGCTTCCCTGGAGACTAGGACGCAATGGAGCAATGGCTTCAAACTACAAGAGAGGATATTCCATCTGAACATGAGGAAGAACTTCCTGACTGTGAGAGCCGTTCAGCAGTGGAACTCTCTGCCCCGGAGTGTGGTGGAGGCTCCTTCTTTGGAAGCTTTGAAACAGAGGCTGGATGGCCATCTGTCAGGGGTGATTTGAATGCAATATTCCTGTTTCTTGGCAGAATGGGTTTGGACTGGATGGCCCATGAGGTCTCTTCCAACTCTTTGATTCTATGATTCTATGGGTTGTTAGGTGTATGCTATCCAAATTTGGTGTCAATTGGCCCACTTGTTTTTGAGTTCTGTTAATCCCACAAACGAACATTACATTTTTATTTATATAGATGAAAGAAGACTACTCTCTGGCACTTTTCTCAAAGTATGAAGACTCATTTCTCGCACAGATAAAGTCAAAACGTTGGGGAGAAAAGCGTGTTTTCCTTTCATTTTTCTCCCTTTGGTGCCTTTAACTCCTCTGTGTGGTCCCATTATGTTTTGACATTGCTATGTGTACTTTTAGATCTCTCGGGTTTAAGTCTGGAGCCCCGTGTTTGCCACTTCCGTGATTAAGGAGCGGCGGAAATCAGGACACGGTGGCCTTGATTTAATTCTCTTTTGTTGACGCTTTCTCCCTTGAGGGAAAAGGTGGGATGGCACTGCAATTATCATCAGGCTATATAAAGGTTTGTTGTTACTGTGCCATAAATAGGGGCTGGGTGTCAATGTGACATTTTGCTTGGCTGCTTCATGGAATCACAGAAGTTTAAAGCGCCACATTTTGTGTATCTCATTTATTTATTTATTTATTTATTTATTTCCTATATTTATACCCCGTCCTTCTCTCCCCGATTTTCTTACACTATATAACAAAATTTTGGGGAAAAAATATGTTCCTGGTTTGGAAGTGTTATTTATTTGTTTGTTTGTTTGTTTGTTTGTTTACAGTATTTGTATACTGCCCCTCTCAGCCTTCCGGTGAATCAAGGCAAAATTCAATACCACCAAAAACACAGTTACAATATAAAAACTTTAACATCAATAAAATCAACACAACGGAAGGGACTTAAAAAGTTCAAAAAAAACCACCCCCAAAATACATTACAACGCATGCACAAAACCACACACATATATACACACACACATATATGCATACACACACAAAACACACACACAGAAATATATATACACATATGCACACACAAAACACATATACACGGAAAGGGGGAAGGAAGGAAGGAGAGAAAGAGGGAAAGAAGGAGGGAAGGAGAGGAAAGAAAGAGAGAAGGAAATAAAAAGTGAAAGAAGGAGAGAGGGAGAAAGAAGGAAGAGGAAATAAAGAAAGGTAGAGAAGGAAGGAGAGAAGGGGGAAGAGGGAAAGAAGGAGGGAAGAGAAAAGAAGGAAAGAAGAGGTAGAGAAGAAAGGAGGGAGAGAAGAGAAAGAGGGAAAGAAGGAGAGAAAGAAAGAAGGGTAGAGAAGGAAGGAAGGAGAGAAGGAGAGAGAGAAAGAGGGAAGGAAGGAGAGAAGGAAATAAAGAAAGGTAGAGAAGGAAGGAGAGAAGGGGGAAGGAAGAAGGGAAAGAAGGAGGGAAGGAAAGAAAGAAGGGTAGAGAAGGAAGGAAGGAAGGAGAGAAGGAGGGAGAGAAAGAGGGAGGGAAAGAAAGAAAGGTAGAGAAGGAAGGAGAGAAGGGGGAAGAAGGGAAAAAAGGAGGGAAGGAGAGAAAGAAGGAAAGAAAGAAGGGTAGAGAAGGAAGGAGGGAGAGAAAGAGAAAGAGGGAAAGAAGGAGAGAAAGAAAGAAGGGTAGAGAAGGAAGGAAGGAGAGAAGGAGAGAGAGAAAGAGGGAAGGAAGGAGAGAAGGAAATAAAGAAAGGTAGAGAAGGAAGGAGAGAAGGGGGAAGGAAGAAGGGAAAGAAGGAGGGAAGGAAAGAAAGAAGGGTAGAGAAGGAAGGAGGGAGGGAGGGGGAGAAGGGGAAAGAAGGAGGGAAGGAGAGAAAGAAGGAGAGAAGGAAGGAAGGAGAAGGAGAGAGAGGAGGAGGGAGAGAAAGAGGAAGAAGAGAAGGGAAGAAGGAAAGAAAGAAAGGTAGAGGTAGGAAGGAAGGAGAGAAGGAAATAAAAAAGTGAAAGAGGGAAGAAGGAAGGAGAGAAGGAATGAAAGCGAGAAAGAGGAGAGGAGGAGGAGGAAGGAGAAGGAGAAAGGAAGGAAGAGGAAGGAAGGAAGGAAGGAAAGAGAAGGAAGTAAGGAAAGAGACAAGGAAGGATGGAACCAAAGAGAAAAGGAAGAGAGAAAAGAAACAGGTAGAGAAGGAAGAAAGAAGGGAAAGAAAAAGAGGGAAGGAGGGAAAGAGGGAGGGAAGGAAGGAGAGAAATAAAGGAGAGAAAGAGGGAGGGAAGGTTGGCCATAGCAAGTAATATAGGCACAAAAAATGTGTTACATACATAGTGTTATTCAAGGGTTGGATGAAAAATGTTCTCTCCAGGAACCTCTAGGTCCTCCAGTGTGACTCTATCGGAGCATCTACACTGTAGAATTAATGCAGTTTGACACCTCTTTCAACTGCCCTGGCTCAATGTGTGGAAATCTCTCTTTCTCTCTCTCCGCCAACAGCGCCCCCAAAGGAGCCCGTCTTGATGTGTCGGTCGAACAACTACCCCAATGGCTTCTACTGCAGTTGGCACCTGCCCAGCCCAACCTACATGAATGACACCTATGACATCACCATCATGTAAGTGGGGCATTGGCCTTGGGTCCATGGGGGGGGCCGTAGATGCAGGCGAAACGTCAGAAGAGAATGCTTCTGGAACATGGCCATACAGCCCGAAAAACTTACAGCAACCCAGAATTAATGCAGTTTGATGTCATTTTAACTGCCACAGTCTCATTGCTATGGGACCCTAGGATGTGTACTTGGAAGAGGCACCAATACTCGTTGGTAGAGAAGGCTAGAGACCTTGTAAAAACTACAACTCCCATGCTATGTCATTTTGTGGCATATCTTTGTGCCGAATTAATTAGCTGAGCTTCCGCTGCAAAACCAGTCTTGTGTCCTCTGAATTGTTTACAAAGGCTGCAAAGTGAGCCCATTGATTTAACTTTGAATACGTTTAAAGGGATTTTAACTGTGGATTTTTTAATACTGTTTGTATTTCATTCTGTTTTAATGTTTGTATATTTGTAAATTTTAAATTGCATGCTAATGCTTTCATGTGAAGCCTCTTTGAGTCTTCTGCAGGAGAGATAAAGCAGGGAATAAATAAATATTATTAATTATATTAATATATGATATTTCTATTATTATAAATATCATACTTTTATATTATTATATAATAAAATAATTATATAGATATCATAAAATAAATATTATATATATAATAATATATATATTTGATGATGATGATGATGATGTGGGAGAGATAAAGTGGGAAATAAATAAATATTATTTATTTATTAATAATATTAAAATATAATATATATAATAACATAATAATAAATAAATTTAATGATGATGATGTGGGAGAGATAAATATAATATAGATATATTATATTTATAATAATATAAATATAATATATTTCTATTAATTTAATATTGCTAATAAATAAATAATATTTATTTATTTATAATATTAAAATATATATATATATATATATATATATATATAATAACATAATAATATAAATATATTTAATGATTATGATGTGGGAGAGATCAATATAATATAGATATATTATATTTATAATAGTATAAATATAATATATTTATATTAATTTAATATTTCTAATAAATAAATAATATTTATTTATTAATAATATTAAAATATAATATATATAATAACATAATAATAAATATATTTATATATATATATATAATATAATATATTAATAATAATAATAAATATAATATATTATATTAATAATATTATTTATTTATTAATAATATTAAAATATAATATATATAATAACATAATAATAAATAAATTTAATGATGATGATGTGGGAGAGATAAATATAATATAGATATATTATATTTATAATAATATAAATATAATATATTTATATTAATTTAATATTACTAATAAATAAATAATATTTATTTATTAGTAATATTAAATTCATATAAATATATTATATTTATATTATTATAAATATAATATATCTATATTATTATATGATAATATAGGAGCTCCTGGTGGCGCAGTGGATTAAACCATTGAGCTGTTGAACTTGTCGACCGAAAGGTCACAGGTTTGAATCTAGGGCGTGGGGTGAGCTCCTGCTGTCAGCCCCAGCTTCTGCCAACCTAGCCATTCAAAAACATGCAAATATGAGTAGATCAATAGGTACCGCTCTAGTGGGAAGGCGACGGCGCTGCATACAGTCATGCTGGCCGCATGACCTTGGAGGTGTCTATGGACAACGCCGGCTCTTCGGCTTAGAAATGGAGATGAGCACCAACCCCCAGAATCGGACACGACTGGACTTAATGTCAGGAGAAAACTGATACCATTACGTCATGATAATATAAATATAGTATAAATATAATATAAATACATTCCATTGTTGTCGTTGTTGTTGCATTTGGCCTGTGTAGACACAGCCTCGCCTAGCATTCAAACCATTTCACGTTACCATTACATTATGATAATATAAATATAGTATAAATATAATATAATATATATTAGATTGTTGTTGTTGTTGTTGCATTTGGCCTGTGTAGACGCAGTCTCATCTAGCATTCAAACCATTTCACCACACTCTCCATTACATTATGTAACACAACTTTCGTTCCTGGGTGATAAATGTCATTTCCTAATTGGTTCCATCATTAAAAACATGGGAAAAAATTATTAAACTGATTTTTATTTTTTTGTGGGACATCCTGCAGCATATTTTGCTCTAGTTTTGTCTCATAGCATCTCAACCAATTCAACATATTGTCGAAAGCTTTCATGGCCAGAATCACTGGGTTGTTGTAGGTTTTTTCGGGCTATATGGCCATGTTTTAGAGGCATTCCCTCCTGACATTTCGCCTGCAAGCATCCTCAGAGGGGCGAAACGTCAGGAGAGAATGCCTCTAGACCAGTGGTTCTCAACCCCCCTAATGCCGTGACCCCTTAATACAGTTCCTCATGTTGTGGTGACCCACAACCATGAAATTATTTTCATTGCTACTTCACAACTGTAATTTTGCTATTGTTATGAATCATCGTGTAAATATCTGACATGCAGGATAAGTTTTCATTCATTGGACCAAATTTGGCACAAATACCCAATATGCCCAAATTTGAATGCTGTTGGGGTTGATGGGGGAGTTGATTTTTGTTATTATTATTTGCTGGGATTTATAGTTCACCTACAATTGAAGAGCACTCTGAACTCCACTAACAATGGAATTGAACCAAACTTGGCACACAGAACTCCCAGGACCAACAGAAAATACTGGAAAATGTTGGTGGCCATTAACCCTGAGTTTGGGAGTTGTAGTTCATCTATATCCAGAGAGCACTGTGGACGCAAACAATGATAGATCTAGACCAAACTTGGCAGGAATACTCAATATGCTGAATGTGAACACTGGTGGAGTTTGGGGAAACTAGACCTTGACATTTGGAAGTTGTAGTTGCTGGGATTTCTAGTTCACCTACAATCAGAGAGCATTCTGAACCCCAGCAACAATAGAATTGTGCCAAACTTTCCACACAGAACACGCATGAGCAACGGAAAATACTGTGTTTTCTGATAGTCTTTGGTGACCCCTCTGACACCCCTTCGTGACCCCTCCAGGGGTCCCGACCCCCAGGTTGAGAAACACTGCTCTAGACCATGGCCATATAGCCCAAAAACCTACACCAACCCAATTCAAAAACCTACAACAACCCAATTGTGGAAACCACCAAAACAAAGTTTCTGGTATATAGGAATTACTTTCAAAGTAAATACCACACAATTAAACAGGAAATAACACTTTCAAACCAGGAACAGAAGATGTTGTTACATGGAGTTCCTTCTCTGTCTGTTAATAACCATAGCCGTGGAGTGTGGGCATTGCAAAGGGTCAAGAGGGCTTCCAGCTCGGAAGCAGCTCCCTGCCAAAGAAGAAGCTCCCTGTGGTTTTCTCATCTGTTCCTCACTTTGTCTTCCCTTCTCTTCTCAACCGTCCTTGTTTTTCCAGCCACGACTCCAAGGAGATCGCCTGCAAGAAGGACATCCCCGCCAAGAACCGGTGCTACATCCAGTACCACCAAGTCTTCTCCTCCAAGAAGTACCGGGTGACTCTGACGGCCACCAACCCCTTGGGCAGCAGCTCCACCACCATCTCCTTCGACGAGTTCTCAATAGGTAAATACAATGGGGGCGAGGCTCAGAAAAGCTCACGTTTAGGTAAGGATGGCTCTCAGAAAGAATGGAGAAAGGGCCCAGGATGGAGTGAAACCTTCCAGCTCTCGCAAGGGGCATCTACACTGCAGAATGAATGCAGTTTGACTTCACTTTGCTCTCTGGTATCATTTCTTTTCATGTCAGGAGCGACTTGAGAAACTACAAGTCGCTTCTGGTGTGAGAGAATTGGCCGTCTGCAAGGACCTTACCCAGGGGACGCCCGAATGTTTGGATGTTTTGCCATCCTTGTGGGAGGCTTCTTTCATATCCTTGCATGGGGAGCTAGAGCTGACAGAGGGAGCTCATCCACTCTCTGTCATGAATGACTTTTCAATAATTTTGAAGCAGTTCCACTGTGAGAGCCATTCAGCAGTGGAACTCTCTGCCCCGGATTGTGGTGGAGGCTCCTTCTTTGGAAGCTTTTAAACAGAGGCTGGATGCCCATCTGTCAGGGGTGATTTGAATGCAATATTCCTGCTTCTTGGCAGAATGGGGTTGGACTGGATGGCCCAGGAGGTCTCTTCCAACTCTAGGATTCTATGATTCTGTGATTCTATAGGTTCTTTTTATTGCAATTTCCAATGTGAGAGGTTATATAAGATTACAGAAAACATTTAGACAAAGAATGACATTGGACATACAGATTCTAAGCCGCAGGGTCCCGTCCTGGGCCCGGTCCTGTTCAACATCTTTATTAATGACTTAAATGAAGGGCTAGAAGGCAGGATCATCAAGTTTGCAGATGGGACCAAATTGGGAGGGATAGTCAATACTCCAGAGGACAGGAGCAGGATTCAAAACGATCTTGACAGATTAGAGAGATGATTGGCCAAAACTAACAAAATGAAGTTCAACAGGGACAAATGCAAGATACTCCACTTTGGCAGGAAAAAACGAAATGCAAAGATACAGAATGGGGAATGATGATGCCTGGCTCAAGAGCAGTACATATGAAAAAGATCTTGGAGTCCTCGTGGGGAACAAGTTAAACATGAGCCAACATTCAATGCTAAGGCTTCCCGCCAAAACCGAACTGTAGAGGAGAGTCTACTGAACAAGCCAGTACCTGCCGCATACCAGTACTGCCATCTGTTGAGGAGTTACAAAGGTGGAGGCATTACTTTTCATTCAACCCTTGTACAAAAAGAAGGAGCACACTATTAGATGTGGGGATGTGTCATTTCACTCTCTGGTCTTGTCTTGTCAAACTGAACTTGTCATGGCCATTTCCATCCTAAACTGCGCTGAGAGAAGTGTGACGTCTCCTCCTTGCTTTGTGTTTATGTTATTTGTGTTTCTCCGGATCCTCCTCCCAAGGTCTGGCCATGACAAGCCACATCCTCCTCCTCTGAGAAATGATGCTCCTCTTGCCTGCCCACACCTTCCATGCGCCGACAGAGCGAGAGATGTTCCGGGCAGGCACGTTGCCAGGATTGCCGAAGAGGTGCCAGCCAGGTTCATCGGCCAAGTGCCACTCGGCGTGAGGAGCTACCTGAGACAGATGGCGGGGACGGGGGAGATTTTTGCAGGCTGGCTGGGCAAACATTCGGAATTGAACGAGGTTCTCAGATCCGGGAGATGAAAATTAAACAGCAATTAAAACGGCACTCGAGTTACGAGTAAGCGCCACATTTCTCCTCAGCACAGGCCACAGTATTAGCTGTCGCAGTGACGTTTGCAAAAGCAGAGGAATCATAGAATCATAGAATCAAAGAGTTGGAAGAGACCTCCTCGGCCATCCAGTCCAACCCCATTCTGCCAAGAAGCAGGAATATTGCATTCAAATCACCCCTGACAGATGGCCATCCAGCCTCTGTTTAAAAGCTTCCAAAGAAGGAGCCTCCACCACACTCCGGGGCAGAGAGTTCCACTGCTGAACGGCTCTCACAGTCAGGAAGTTCTTCCTCATGTTCAGATGGAATCTCCTCTCTTGTAGTTTGAAGCCATTGTTCCGCATCCTGGTCTCCAGGGAAGCAGAAAACAAGCTTGCTCCCTCCTCCCTGTGGCTTCCTCTCACATATTTATACATGGCTATCATATCTCCTCTCAGCCTTCTCTTCTTCAGGCTAAACATGCACAGCTCCTTAAGCCGCTCCTCATAGGGCTTGTTCTCCAGACCCTTGATCATTTTAGTCGCCCTCCTCTGGACACATTCCAGCTTGTCAATATTTCTCTTGAATTGTGGTGCCCAGAATTGGACACAATATTCCAGGTGTGGTCTAACCAAAGCAGAATAGAGGGGTAGCATGACTTCCCTAGATCTAGACACTATGCTCCTATTGATGCAGGCCAAAATCCCATTGGCTTTTTTTGCCGCCACATCACATTGTTGACTCATGTTTAACTTGTTGTCCACGAGGACTCCAAGATCTTTTTCACATAGAACCCTAGAGTTGGAAGAGACTCCAAAGCCCATCCTTTCCAACATCCTTCTGCCAGGCAGGAAGACACAATCAAACTTACTTACTTAGGCAATCCTTCGTAGTCCGTGAATGATGGTCCTCCAAGTTCGATGTTCTATCAGTGGATCCATAGGTAACTGTGGAGTCCTATTCTTGACCTGCATCTTCTCCCACAGTGAGCGCATTGGTTTCCAGGTGGAAGGCAGTCCCAGTCGGGGTTGGCTTGACGCGCCTTCCTCTTGGCACGTTTCTCTCTTTCACCCTCCATTCGTGCCTCTTTAAATTCTACAGCACTGCTGGTCACAGCTGACCTCCAGCTGGAGTGCTCAAGGGCCAGGGCTTCCCAGTTCTCAGTGTCTATGCCTGCTTGCTTGCATGCTGGTCGCTTCTGTGGCGAGAGAATCAGCCGTCTACAAAGACGTTGCCCAGGGGACGCCCGGATGTCTTGCAATCCTGCAAGAAGCCAACCTCAAGAAGTGGGGCCACAAAGTGGAATCCACGACATGCGAGTGTGGAGAAGAGCAAACCACTGACCACCTGCTGCAATGCACCCTGAGCCCTGCCACATGCACAAGGGAGGACCTTCTTGCAGCAACACCAGAGGCACTCCAAGGGGCCAGATACTGGTCAAAGGACATCTAATCAACTACCAAACTCACAAGTTTTGTATTTTGTCCGTTTGTTTGCTTTGTTCTGTTAGAAATGTAACATAAGTGACTGGTTGCCCTGACACGACAAATAAAGTGTCTATGCCAGAGTTTTTCAGGTTGGCTTTGAGCCCATCTTTAAATCTCTTTTCCTGTCCTCCAACATTCCATTTTCCATTCTTGAGTTAATAGAGCTACTGCTTTGGGAGACGGTGGTCAGGCATTCGGACAACGTGGCTGGTCCAGCGGAGTTGATGGCGGAGGAGCATCGCTTCAATGCTGGTGGTCGTTGCTTCTTCCTGCACGCTAACATTTGTCCGCTTGTCTACCCAAGAGATTTGCAAGATTTTCCAGAGGCAGCACTGATGGAATCATTCCAGGAGTTGCATGTAACATCTGTAGACAGTCCACGTTTCGCAGGCGTATAGCAGGGTTGGGAGGACAATAGCTTTGTAAACAAGCACCTTGGTATCCCTACGGATCTCCCGGTCCTCAAACACTCTCTGCTTCATTCAGAAACATGCTGCACTCGCAGAGCTCAAGTGGTCTTGTATTTCGGTGTCTGTGTTGATTTTTGTGGAGAGGTGGCTGCCAAGGTTAGCAGAAATGGTCCACATTTTCTAATGTTACTCCATTAAGCAGTATTTCTGGCATTGGAGAGGGATTGGTCGGTGACTGCTGGAAGAGCACTTTGGTTTTCTCGATATTCAACGACAGGCCGAGCTTCTCGTATGCTTCTGCAAAGGTGTTTAGAGTGGCTTGTAGGTCTTCTTCTGAATGCGCACAGAAGACGTTGTCACAATCAAAGTACCCCCGACAGATGACCATCTAGCTTTTGCTTGTAAACCTCCAGAGGAGATTCCCAGGCAGTCCATATTTTACTGCCAAATTGCTTTTACCTCCAGCAATCAAAGTTGGAAGAAACCGCATGGGCCATCCATTCCAATGCCCTGTCTTGCAGGAAAAGCACAATCAAAGCACTCTGACAGATGGTCATCCAGCCTCTGTTTAAAAGCCTCCATTGGGCACATCTACACTGACCACTAAATGCGAAAGGCTCCCAAATCAGCGCATGGTGGCCAAACCATGCAGGGAGACATTGAGCAAGGCCACCTTAACACAGTCTTGACTTGTATTAACCAAAATCTCAAGTTGCTCTCAATTCTGCTCCATAATTTGGTGCAACCTGAAGCTTTGTATCCATTTAAGCAGCTGATCCAATTCCACCGAAACATAGAATCCTATGTTGACCATTTCGGCTCCCTGGGCAGCCACCTCTCCACCAAAATCAACACTGAAATACAACACTGCCTAAGCTCTGCAAGTGCAGCATTTTTCCGAATGAAGCAGAGTTTGAGGACCAGGACATCCATAGGGAGAACAAGGTGCTTGTTTATAAAGCTATTGTCCTCCCACCCCTGCAATATGCCTGCGGAACGTGGACCGTCTACAGACGTCACATGCAACTCCTGGAACGATTCCATCAGCGCTGCCTCCGGAAAATCCTGCAAATCTCTTGGGAAGACAAGCAGGCAAATGTCAGCATGCTGGAAGAAGCAAAGACCACCAGCATTGAAGCGATGGTCCTCCGCCATCAATTCTGCTGGACCGGCCACGTTGTCTGGATGCCCGACCACCGTCTCCCAAAGCAGTTGCTCTACTCCAAACTCAAGAACAGAAAATGGAGAGTAAACAATCAGGCACATCTAATCACCTCTCAACAATAGATTCCCCCAGGCACTGCCAGGTCATCAAATGCTAATCAAGGTGGTCAGTTGAAACATTCCCACCTAGCTCTAGCAGACAAGAGTCCTTTGTCCCACCCTGGTCATTCCACAGATATATAAACCCTTTCGCCTAGTTCCAACAGACCTCACTACTGCTGAGGATGCTTGCCATAGATGCAGGCGAA